TTTATATATATTATCTATTTCCCCTTACAGGAGGAAAATTCTCCTACTTCCCCAAAATCTTCCCCTTCCCCCCAGGAAACACAAGCCGCCACGCTTCTCCTTGCAGTCACAGCGGGATCAGATTTGTCTGACTCGGTAAAAGTTCCTTAATATTCACCAGAGTAATGCAACGAACATAGTAATAAGCACAGGTAGCTCTATGTTTTACAACTCCTCGACCTCACCCTGGGCTGCCTGCTTCAGACACAGCGGTCCTTTGTTCGGGAGGAAATTCCGATTCATTCTCCATTAGCATTTTTTATAGTACTGGGCATGTTCAAAGAGCCACGCAAGTGGCTTAAGAGGTTAACGCGAATCTTGGGTTAATTCATAATATTGTTAGTTACTCAGCACAATACTCGCGTTAATTCAGCTGACTGCATCTCCACACGTTGGGGAACACATGCTGAAATCAGCAGGGAGCAGAGAAAACAAGCCTGGGAGTAGGGTATGAAGTATTTTGCTGGCCCGCTACGGTAGAATCTGAGCCCCTTAAACGTATTTATTTAGCCATTGCCTTTGAGGATGGCGTTACCCCGCTCCGCAGATGTGGAGCGGAAGCACGGGGAAGGCTGTGCCCAGCATCCCTGCAGACCTGGGAGGGTGAGGGATGGGCTCCGAGCCCTGCGAGGGGCACTTGAGACACGTCCATCAGGACTCAGCCCCTACCTGCAGCCACCTCTTTCTTCTGGGTCTATTCAAACCGTTCAAAGCAGAAAAAGCCACTTTTTTTTTTTTTTTTTCTTTTTTCTTTTGATACCTGCTGATTTAATTGCAGGGCTGGACTGTGCATGTTTGCCATGAGAGCCCCCACAATACTTTTCTCCCTGGGGATACAGCCTGGAGCAGGCGGTGCAGAAGATCAACTTGGGAACTAGCTCCCTCCATGGATGTTATTGCCCCACGTTTTGGAAAAGAACTCGGCTGAATGGCTTAAAGCCAAGTAAAAGCCCAGACAGACATCAGGAGATAGCGCTGAACGGCCGCTCTGCATTCATTCCTTTTGCTTACTCTTCAGAAACTTTCCTGTGCAAAGAAACCCCAAGAAAAGAACCTCGAACCCCTGCTGCGTTCCTCCCCATCTGTTCCGTTCCTCTGACTCCCAGGTTTGGACCTTTCCCCGCAGCACAAACAGCCAGCCACCCCACAACTGCTGCCGAGCCCTCTCCTTTTCCAAAGGACACCCCCTCCGACAGCCCATCTGTTCCAAAAGATGTTTCGTTAGCAGATGTACAAGCTTTTTAACACCACGATACCCTTTGCATCAAATATCTCTAGGTTTTCTGGCTGGTTTTACCCTAAATTGACACGTACGTGGCACAACATTATATATAACGTGCTGAGGTGGACCAAAAAAAAATCAGCAAATTCTCCCAGGAAGCCCATGCACAGTCTCAAACCCCAAGTCTCTGCACTGGAATATCAAGGAGTAAACTACTATAGTTGAATCTGTTGTGCAATAAATTGTTAGTTTATGTATATTTTAATTGCAAATCAACGCTATAATTAGCACATACATTTCTTGGGCTGAGGCAACGCAATGTGCTTTAACAGTGAGCATTATTAATGGACTGTAAAAGGCAATGGGGAATTGGATTATAATGTTCTTGTTTTGCAAGCTGTATGGTGAATAAATAAATTTGTTCTGGCAGCAAAATTAACTGGAATAAATGCTTCTAGCTCCATCCACCAAGAAGAGGGGGTGCTGTAAATGAACTTTTTCTCAGCCTTGAGTTAGAAAGACCTGATCACTAGTTCATTATTTCTGGCAATTAGGTACCAGAACAACATCAGAGAAGTAAGAGATTTTCTTTGAAATATTTAATGAGTAAGGTAGTAATTGTAGACTCATTTGCTGGAAGTATGTGATGAGATTTCTTTCTTTTTGTGGTTAGGGTTCACTGTGCAATGAAAACCTGCATTTATCAAGTCTACTGCTAAAAGCCAGACTGCAAGCTTAAACTGTGGCACCCTATCTAGCTTTTCCTTGCCTAGAATCCCTGGGCTCTTCATCAGGTTTATCCCACGCCCAGGCACTCATCAGAGGACGGTCCTTTGCTCCTTTTTCAGTTGCAGGTTGCTTTGCAACAACAGCAAAATCAAAGGATTCAGACAGGAGCAGGGAGAGCGTTGCCCTGTTTGTGTTGCACAACTAACTGGTGTATACCTATAGGTGTGTTTTCAAGCAACCCCCCCAAAATGCCCTTCTTCAAGATCAGAAAAGATGAATCTGAGATATACTGAGGTTTTACGCACCAGCATTAAGCCAAAGCACTTTGCAAACAGTGTAACCATCATAATTCTGACCATAGAAAGCTCAACCTCTGTGAAAACTTAAGAGGGGACAATATATCTTACAAACATGCGGTATTTTGCCTCCGCAAGTTGTCATGTGAGGGCCTAAGCAAAGTCTACGTGCAGGTAATTGTACTACAAATGCTCACAGACATCAAATACAACCTTAGTAGTTCTGCTGCCATTTTACTCCATTGCTAAGAAAAGCATTTTAGGTAACAGTTGGCACGTTACTGCCAGTTAGTCCCTTTGTTTGTAAAGGGAGGCTGAAAACAATTCAATACTGGTAAAAATGTAGAAACAGATCCCAAAACCCTGACAGCTGCAACCCCAAAAAAGCCCATCAGGTGTAAGTGGAACCTTCACCCTCTCTCTTCTTGGTGCAGAAAATACAAGTGGAAGGCGGTTTGGTAGGAATAATCCTTACTCAGTATTGATGCTGAAGGGCCCGACTCTGATCTGCACATTAACCAAGGACAAGGTAGATCATGGCTGAGAGCACAAACCTGGTAGATGTTTTACAAGCGAAAAAAAAGCCCAGACATACTAGAAACCATTTAACTTCTTCCATTTTGGTGGTGGTTTTATTTCTTGTTGTTTTCTTACAATCATTATGCTCAAATATAAAACCTCCTGGCCAAAGCCAGTTTTAAAAGTGATCCCATCTGCATCGCTACATACTAAACATCACGAAATTCAGTTTCTGTAAACAGACTGGTTGCTTTGCCTGACATGCAGAAAAATCCTCCTTTGCAACTTGTGCAGACATACCTCAGTTTGACAGAAAAATAGTTACACCTGAGTGTTTCCACATTTAGTTTTCTTTTTTTTTTTTTTCCCCCCATGGACCCTTAACAATTGGTTCATGCTAAGCTGCACCATTGTGATCCTTTTCAGCTGTACTGGGCATCTTCATGAATCACTGGAAGAGAGAAATAAGAATAAATGGAAAGATGCCACGAGGATAATATATCGGTGACAGAACCGGAAAGCTCCAGGCACCTTTATTTCCAGAGCTCTGGAACAGATGCAGTGCATTGCAGATTTGGCTATTATTAAGGCACGTGGTGAAAATAACAGTTTATCATCTCGGGCAATTCATCTCTCCGAGTCAAACATTCTGTGCCAGTAGTAGATGAAGGTGGGCGAGTTGCTGGCCCCTATCAGTATTAGCAGCAGTAGGTACAGCATCATCATGACGGCAAAACGGTGGGTGTAAAACCAGGAAGATTGACTAGAAGGCCTGAAAAGGGAAAAGTGCATGAATTCTGTCAGAGATGCACGAACACCTTGGCAAAGAGTATCTTGGGTTTTGGTATTTTAAATGGTTAAGCCAACGCAGTAAAACCAGAAAGTTGTTCCACAATCCCCGTAACTAACAATGCCTGATTCCTCATCCCTTTTCCCCACGTCTCCGTGCACAATCCTGTCCTTTCTCCCCATGTTCACACCTTTCCCTGTGGTTTGGAGCTGTGATTGCCTGGCCTGTACACACACGTTGATTAGCCGGGGGAATGCTGCCATGCAGGACAGAGTTAAAACTGCCCTGGTTTTAAGAGCTGCACTCAGCAGAGTTTCACTCTTTGTTTCCTGCCACAAACAGATTATTGGGGCTCTCAAAGATATGAAGTCTTTACAGGTCTGGGGAAAAAGCAAATTTAGCTGAGCCTGGGAGTGTCAAAGAGTGAGACAGAGGCAACGTGACAGTGTAAGCCTTATTTCACAGGAAACAGACTAAAACCAGATCCTGGCAGCGCAGCATAATTTTCTTGCTTGTTTTCTGTTGTTTTTCAAAAATGAGATGTGCTTATCTGGCTGTCATAGCATGCTCATCACTCTAGACAGCTGAGCTCTTACCTCCTATGCTGTTTCTGTGAATATACTAGCAAGTATTTAACTCGTAAAAGCTGATTATTTGTGACAACGAAGTATTTCTGTGGTACGTCACCCCCTTCGCTGTTTTTCACTCTTGCTCTCCTTCTGTCTATTTCTTCTGAATCTGTATGGGAAGAGAACAGACATGGTCTTTTGGGGAACAGAAAAGTAAAAGAAAAGCACAACTTCAAGTAACTGTAAAAAAAGCAAACAACCAACACCCACCCCCCCCCTACAATCACAAAAGCGGGAATGAGATAACCAAAGATCTAGTCTTGGTATTCCCCCGAATCCCTTAGCATCCAAGAATAGACCGAGAAGTTTGCATGAGGCTATACCACTCCTAGTCATCCTTGGTATGGATGGCATTACGGCCCAGACCGGGGTGAAAAGGAGGTGGCTCTCCCACACAGAGTTTGAGGAGCTGCTAATATTAACAGGGAAAGAAAAACAACATCAAAGGACTGACTGAGCCCTACAGGTAGGAAGCAGTCAAAGCAGAAGGACAATCTGAGCAGAGGTTTCTTAGACATCTAACGTAGCTCATTCTTGATACGTTTGTGATGCTTCTGCTCCACCATCACAGGTTACATGATCAGGCATTATGGAACAAGATTTCCTAGTATTACTGAAACTAGAAAAAACAAATGATGCCACTAAAATATTTTCTACCCCTTAAATATACTATTTTCAGAGAAGCTTCACAGACAACAAGGCTGTTGTACATTTGGTGAGGGGTCAATCGAAAAAGCCAGTTTCTGCTGAAGGGTATCCACACTCCACACACTACACTGTTTGTATATGATAAAATACATGCACAAAGCTGAAATACGAGAAGCGCTAAGTAAGAGATGAACTACATGTAATTATTACTGCAACAGGCTCACCTTTCTTCTTCACCTGACACTTTACATCTGGATGGTCAATGATCTCGCAAACAGCTACGCAGCTAAGGACAGAGCCCAACACGCTTCGCTGCCAACCAAGACCATGAGGGCTATAAAGGAGAGCCAGGCTCAGGTCACTGGTGAGGTAGGTACCTTCACCAAACAGGGACGTCTGAAATGGAGCAGAAATAGATCCTAAAATCCCGTAGTGCAAACTAAAAACAGCACACAAGTGTTCTTTACTTTCTGACTGGCAGTTCTGTTTCTGAAGGTAAATTAAGAAAGGCGTTTCTGATCCGTGTTGGGCCTGGTCCACGCACTGTTTTTGTCCTGGCACAACTTCCCCTGGGTGGGGCAGCTGCCCTCTCCCATCCCTCAAATTAGCTGCTTGGCACAGCTCTTGGTGTGGACAGATTCATGCTTTCCCAGATTTGGATTTAGTTTGCCAGCATAAGTATTTTATATCAACATGACTGCACTGCTGTTAGAAGCATTTCACTGATTTATTGAGACTGCCACCATTCAAATAATCCAGCCTCCAAAAACAAGGCAAGGCTTTACTTAGGTTTAAATCCATGCTTTACTGGAAAAGAGGGAAGTACTTTTCAATTGTGAATTCCTTTCAAATATAACTGTTTTAATAACTTTGAATCTGAGGATTTGCCACACTGGCTAAAATTATTAATCCAGTAAGTCCACTGTACCTGATAAGCCATTACTCATAAGAACACGAGGGAAAAACATGGTCCAGGCTGACTGGAAGGTTAAGCAGCTGCCGCATCAAAGCTGCTTTACAGATGGCACAAAAAGCCAGGACTCAAAACTGCCCTTCCGCTGAAATCAGAAGAGGTGCAAATCCTACGGGATGTCTCCCTTAACCAGGACGTTTAAAGAAGGCTCCATTTGCAAGTAGCACCAATCTAAACCTGAGGCCAGGCAGAAAGAGAGAATCTCTGCATTGCCTGGGTCGCTATCCCCCTCCTCTGTGCACAGGCACTTCCCAGCTGCAGGCTGTCAGACAGGCCAGTATTTTCAGAGGCATTACACTTCCTTACAAAGCAGCAAAGGACAGCCATAATTCGTCACGCTGGAGAAAAGGGTTTCATGCCGCTTCCAGTTTTTACCCTCAGGCTGCACTAGAAAAATCCAACACAACCATCCACAAAGGCCTACCCTGAAGTGAAAACAGTAGTATAAAATCATCAGCACATTTCATATCCCTAAAGGAATTTGGGTCTAGTTTTAAAGTGTCACTAGCTACAAATGACCAACAGAAGACGGTGCCGACAGCAGGAACACCAGGAGCCTCACCCTGTTCAAATGGCAGTGCAGGCCGTTGTGCAGTATGGAATGGAAGTTCTCGAGGCGGCTCCCATGGAAGGCATAGATGAGATCCCGCTCTCCCTTGGTCTCAGCAAACTTGGTATTCATTTGATCGCAATACACGATCTCAAAGAGGTAGTCCGGAGCAGGAACCGCAGCCCCAGACATCCCTGTGAGTTCTTGGATCTTCTCGTACTTAAAAACAGGAACGAATATGAGTGTTGGTTTATGGGTTTAGCTTACTCACTGGAAATTTTGCTTACTGTCCCTTAGGCTTTCATATTGCTTTACGTATTTTGATTATGCTTTCTGCATTAGAATTCAACACCGTCACAATTCAGAAGGAGTAAGTGGACAGTAAATATCTTGACAGTTTCTTTCCATCAAAGCTAAATCCCAATTCTTCTTTACAGAAAAAAACCCTGAACTGTGATTATGAATTAATTGATGATGTAAGGACAGTATCACAATTCTACCATGCCACTTTGGCTACCAAGATGATATATTCATCAGCTGATCTTGGAAGAGGAAAAAAAGTGAAAACAGAAGTTGTTTTCATTTTGCTACTAATCTCCACAACTATTTTGATCCCTGTTACAGAAGTACCTCAGTGGCTCTTAATCTTTCCATTTTTGGGGCAGAATGCAGAAATACAAAGTTGTCTTTCTCAGTGTAAAGCAGGACCTAGCTCCATGACACCCGAGTTGGACTATCTTGAGCTAAAACATGCAGGTACATGCTACATTAACGGGAGTAACCACCCATAATCACTGCCCATCATCAGCTACTGACAGTGGTAACTATTTCTTCCAACTAGTGTTCCTGAAAATTTTATTTAAAAAAAAAAACCCTTTCTATATATAGAAATAAATGCACTCAGGTTGAACTGTCAAGCTCTCACAATAACCAACGAACTTCTGCCAGGTGGAAATACTCTTTGAAATGCAAGGTTGCCTTAAAAGACAAATTCTAATCAAGACTTTCAGAATTCAAAACTTACCTCGCGTTTCTTAGTACTTTGTATCATGAAGACCTTAGATGATAAAATCCAACTAAACAAATCCCAGGTCCTTTTCTCTGTGTTTGGAACAGACTCCAGTTGTTTCAGGCTTGGTAGAGCGTGGGTATCTGCAAGCTAACAAGACAGGCACTTAGTACAAGCTCCTTCTTTTCATTATGATTAAACAGAGACCTCTAGTGAAAACAAAACAATATTTCACCTTAATAGGTTGTAAACCAAAAATCAGTTTCTGTTGTGAGATATAAACATTTGTATCCAGTTTGTGGGAAAGTTTGTCACTTTTCCTAAAACCAAATACCAAACAAGTTATAAAATAATTATATTTACCAACAATATCTGTAAGGTGTCTGTAAGAATAACCAAACAAGCTCCTGAAAGAAAACAGGCCACCACAATGCAGCATCTGCAGTGGGATAAACACAGAGGGTGTTCAGGCCATATAATACAAACCCTTCAAAATGAATTTGAATTTCACTTTGGTCAAGCTCTTAAAACGCTTTGTATCCCAACACCGGATCTGGAAGTTTTCAAGTGTGGGCTTATAGGTCAGAATCCCAAATGCACTTTAAAAACCGAATTCCTTGACTGGATAAACAATTAATTCTGCTTTATTCGTAACCCTGGGCCGCCGCTGCTCTCACCTCAGAGGGCAACCTCGCCTTCTCCCCCCCGAGCAGCCCAGGCCGGGCTCCCCCACCTCACCCGCCCTTTCACAAGCCTGCTCTCTCACCCCAAAGGCAGAACATCATATACCGGGTCGGATACAACCCCCCGGGCCGGGGGCACCG